ACACCCCCCAGAGGAGCCGCAGCTCCATCCCACGCCCCCTCCCCCCCAGCTGGGCAGCACCTACCCCTGCCCCAGCCCCACACCCTCTTCACCATGGGGGCCTTGATCTGTCCTTCAGGCCCCTCCCCTTACATCACAACAGACTTACCAGCTGCACGCAGCTCTCCACGCTGCCGGCTGTGCTCCTCACTGCCTACACACTGCGTTGCAGCTGCTTGCATGCACGGGATATTTGACAGCCAAATTATCAGCCACATCAGGCCGATTTCCGATATAGACAGTTTTCTTTATTTTGGTGCTGATCTGATATTGGACTGATGTATCAGTGCACCTCTATTTATCTCACACTATGTAGACACATTATTCACACACATTATAGTGGTGTGGTCCACTTATGCAAAATACCTGCTACAGAGCCAATCTGACCTAAAAACATATGTAAGCTGGAGTTTTTGTGTGATTAATATATTTAGAACAGAGGACAAAGATTTGTCTGACAGAAAGGGTTAAGTAGACTCGTGTTGTTATTTATATTGTGTATTTTTAATTCATGGACTGGGCATATTTTAGAGCCTTTTGTAAAATGGTATCAAGTTACTGAAAGGCAATACTACTTCACTGGGGAATTTTTTCTTAACATTTTGTTTAATCGTTATTTGTGACTTCAAAAAGGTACCCCAGTTTGTGACAGTCACCTTTTTGTTTGGATTATAAATCCAAAGGAATAAACATCAACAACAATGTCACCAGTGCCAAACAGTCAAGTAATGTTTCACTTAGGTCAAAGAGGTAAAGTTGGATCATATTATTTTTTTTAAATAAAAAGATCTAAAATAAAGCAAAATGCAGGATATGAGTTCAAGATAATGCCCCATTTCTTATACTTACTTCACTTAATGTTAAAATACTCATATCAATATAAATATCAGACAGACAGAACATAACAAAGGTAAATTTTTTGTTCTGACTTTTGTTTTAAATTAATATTAGTAAAGTTGGATCATATTATTTTTTTTAAATAAAAAGATCTAAAATAAAGCAAAATGCAGGATATGAGTTCAAGATAATGCCCCATTTCTTATACTTACTTCACTTAATGTTAAAATACTCATATCAATATAAATATCAGACAGACAGAACATAACAAAGGTAAATTTTTTGTTCTGACTTTTGTTTTAAATTAATATTAGTGTCCCAGGGGAGCGGGGACGCCGGGAGACCCCTGTGGCGGCAAAGGGGCCCGCTTACCTCCCGCAGGGCCGGAGGAGCCAAAAGGAGTCCACGCGCCGGCGTGGGCCGTCAGCCCGGCATTTATCCGGCTGCCGCTG